TAGTTATAGGCGAGATACTGTGACAGATTTGACAAAATAGATCGAATGTATTTAAACAAAACCCAAAATTTATACCCTATACTGACAATAACTTATAGTAATAACAGTAAACGAGACATTGAAATTTTATTTCTCTTCTAGTGACTTCCTACTGTATACGTAGAGGTCGCATGAAATATTACAAAATAATTGCAGTTATGACAGGAATTTCGCTCTGTTATAAAGGGAAAAAATTTTAAATAATAAAAAATTCTTTGATATTTTAAATTTATTTTTCATTTTTTTTTTTATTAAAAATCTTGATTTTTATTCAATTTTATTTTTACTTAAATTTTAATGTTTCATATTATTATCAAATTTTTATTTTTCTTAAATTTCAATTACATAATTACTTTTTTTTGTTCTTCTCTCTAATTAAATTTAAAAAAAAAAATATTATTGTAAAAAAAAATTATTTATATATTTTAAATGCAAACTAATTAGAAATCATTTTTGTATATTTATTTTTTTTATTTTTACTTAAGAAATTTCTGAACATGGTAATTGATTTATAAAATGCTTCTTTTTTTTTTAAATCTTATGTTATATACAGTGACAGTGTATTTCTTTTGTTTTTTTAATTAAGTAAATTTAAAAATTCGATTATATTTTATTTATATATTAAATTGTTTTTTTTTCTCCTTACATTATAATTAATTTTTATATTTAATTTGAAAATATATATTGTATATATATACTTATAGAATTTTATTATATACATATATATTTTCAATTGAAATAAAATCTTAAATTTAAAGTCAAAAATAATTATTATTAAATTAAGTAATTAAAATAAAATTAAAAAAAAAATAATAGGAAATAAATAATTTAAAACATTTTTATTATTAATATTAAAATTAATAAAGCGCAAATCCTCACATATCCACCAAATTACGAAAAAAATAAAAATAAAATATAAAAAATAAAATTATAATAAATAAGTTATAATTAAGAAAATGAAAAATAAAATTAAAATTAAATTAAAAAAATAAATAATATTTTTTTTTTTTATTTTTTTTTTGTTTTGTTTTTGTTTTAAAACTCTCTTATTATCGTAAAAATTAATATTAAATTCGACTTTAAATTAAAGATAAAATTTCATATAAAATAAAATTAGACAACTTATTTCAATTGCAATATAGTTGTACTAATTACAGTAATAATTAAATTAATTATTTAATTTATAACTATTATTTTTTAAACAAATTCAAATTAGAGAAAATTTCCTCCGAATGATTACGAACTTCCGTAATTTTTAAAAAAATTTTTATATTAATTTTTTCTAAAATGAATTTGTTTTGAAAATTTTTTAATTAATTTTCTTATTTTTTTTTTCTTCACTATATTTTAAGTTTTTATTTTTACAATTACAAGAATGAATGAAATTCTGAAATATTATTGAAATTTTTTGGGAAAATTAAAATTTAAAATATGATCAAATGCAATTTTTTTTAAGTATTTTGATACAAAATTACTTAAAAAAAAAATTTTGAACAAAATTTTAAATGTTGTTTTTTCATAATTATTCCATTTCGGGAGTAAATGAATTAATTGTGTATTTTGAAAGTGTTTTTTTTAAATATATGATTCAAAGACATAATATTATAATTATTAAAAGTTCGAAAATTTGATTTTGCCGAAATATTTAATTGCTATCAATGAAATCAGAAAAAAAAATATTTAATTGCATATTATTCCTTTTACATAATTTTGTGTTAGCCGCGAATGGGTTAAATTTGTTAAAATATTAAATTGAAAATTTCCACATCAGGACGTAGTTTATTATGTCTTTTATAACTATTTAGTACATGAAAAATTCTTACGGTGAAGAATAATTGTTTTTTTTTTTTTTTATTAAGCAAAGTTAGAACATAAGATATTGTTATTTTAATTTTCGTTTTATTAAAATTATTATTATTTAATAACTAAGAATTATAATATCTCCATTTTGTTTGAAACGTAATTAAATTTGACAACAAAAATTTCTAAATTTAATTTATTAATTTTTCAATTAGTTTATTTTTTATATACGCATTATTAACAAAAACCATTGTGTATAACAGTTTATAATGTTATACGAAAGACAATTTTTGTAAGTATACAATTAGAATTACTTTTTTTTGAATAACGCAATTTTAAATTAAAAAAAATTTACTATTCAGTAGCTAGCCACTCAAAAAATGTAGCTTGTTGTGTAATTACAAAAATTGTCTTCTGTATATTGAAATATTCTTCTATAAAAAAAAAGTAAATTCTTTATTAAAAATTAACACAATGGTTAAATTCATGATTTAAATATTTTTAATGATAGCACCAATTTAATAAAAAATTTTGTAAGAATATAATGCGTAAAACTTAATCGAAATTTAACACTTTCACTGTCGGGTCAGTTAAAAAGGCCTCACAATGGTCACAAAAAAAATTATTAAAATAATTCCAACTATAGTGTGACAAATTTTTTGTTGTTGCCGACATTGTACGATTAAAAAAAATTTATAAATATCAGAAAAGTTCGATTCTGGCGTTACAGTTCTTCTTGATTCAATCATAATGACCGTCAGTCTTTCAAAATAATAAAAATATAATATTTCACGAGTGTTCGGCAAGGCAATAGTTTTTTTGAATAGCTCTTTGCCAGTTCGAAGTTTCTGCCAAAATAATTTTATAATTCATTTTTATCAGGCATTTTTGACTGTGACAGGCATCTTTGAATGAACCTATTTGAAAACTATTCCTGACAGTGAGAGGGTTAAACAAGGAATTTACTCAATTATTACTTAATTACAATATTTAAAAAAATTTTTGTTTTCGTCAAATTTTGTTAAGGATATTGTATATTACTCCTAATAATTATGTTAGAATTTTGCTGGTTATTTAAGTGTTAATGAACTGTATTATGGGAGAGTATGATTTTTTATATCTATTTTTATGAACTGGAGATATTGCAAGCCTTCTAAAAGCCTTGTCGAATTTTTATTATAATTTTTAAATTAAAATTTTATATTAATATTATTATTTTTTATATTAAATAAATTGTTAACTAAATTTTAATACTATTTTTTATATTTTTCTTCATTATTTTATTCGTATCTATTAAGTCTTTAAGTTTTATTTGAAAAAAAAATGTTATTTATATTTATGTCTGGGTATGTGTGTGTATATATATATATATATATAATGCCAAAAATTATGAAAAATTAATTGTTAATTTTTTATAATATATTCGTTTTATAATATAAAATAAATAAATATTTTATATTATTAAGAATATTTTAATTGGGAGGAATTCAATATCACTTCATGTAGACGATTTTGATTTCAATTTCCATTTTATATAGGGCGCGTTTCTCTTAAAATCTATTATGTAATTAATTAATTTCTTAATTCGTTTTCTTGTTTTTTTTTTTTAATTTTAATTATTAAGTTTTATAAAAAAAAAAATATTAATTTTCTTTAACTAATTGAAATTTTTTTTTCTTCATTTGTAATACTATTTTTTTTCCTGTTGCTGTTTTTATAATATTTAAGCACATTGTTTCTTTTCATTTAATATATTTTAAATTGCTATTATATTTTATATTTAATTTAAATGGTAACAATAAAATTTTATTGTATTTTTGCAGGGCACCTGTAAATATAAGATAAAAATTTAAAATTAATTTTTTTACTTTATTAATTATGCTAAATTTAATTATAATTTTATTGAAATTCAATTTTAATTTTATTGAAATTTAATTTAAATTTTGGTCAATTAATTGATCAGGAATTAAAAGCATAATCTGTTTAGTTAATTGTAACTGTTTTAGGCTCTGGCCCTGATTTCGATAAATATTTTGTAAATTTCAAACATAATATTGAGCCGAACCGAATTCGGTCCACTGAATTCTAACTAAAAAATAATTGTTTTCAATTCTATATACCCGAATTGAAAACAATTATTTTTTATTAATTACAGGCTGAAATTCTGGCTCTTCTATTCAAATTTCAAGTAGTTTTAAATGAATTTATAAAATAAAATTTTGTAGCTAGAAAATTAAGAATAGTTTGAGTCCATTCTAATTTGACTAAAGAAGAATTGCATTTTAACTAAATTCACGTACAAATTATTGACATACTTTTAAATATGTATATATACTTAATCAATTTATTGACCACTAAACTAATTGAACTTTTTTTGAAAATGGAGTTCTTAATGTGCAAATAATTGGATCTGCAAAATCTTTGTTCTACATTATTACATATATGAGGCGCTCAGTGCATTAGTGGCCTATTTAAAATTTTTCCAAAAAGGAGTTATTATGTTCAATAGAGTTGTAATGGCCTAAAAAATTGTTACATTTTTTCAAAATATTTAGTTTACTCCTCTTTTTATTCTATTGTGACATAAGTTTGTATTTGTCTTTTAAAAATTTTCTTAAAATTTAAATATTAAACATTCAATTTCAATTTACTCGAAATGTCATTTTTGCAAATAGGTCACTGATGCGCTGAGCGCCTCATTTATTCAATACATATATGAAATATAGTTAATAACTAATATGACCAGTTAAAACATTAAGAACTTTATATTCAAACAAGCTCAATATATGTAAATTAATAAATTAATTTCTAAGAAAAAACTTCACTCACCTTAATTAATATTTTAATTATTTTATAAATAACTATGAAGAGTTCTCGTTCTATTGTATTTTTTTTCTTTAAAATCTATTTCATTTTATCATAATTATAATTATATGAATTTTTCTTTTAATTTTTATTTTGACAAATTAGTTCGAAAAAGTATATTCGATTTTATTTTATGTTTTCGAAAAAGTCTTGAAGAATAATTGTGATCTTTAAATTATTAATTATTTTATGAAATAATTTAGAATATTTATAATATATAAAAAAAAAAAAAATTAATGAAATTCTCAGAATTTTTTTTTTGTTGCTCTTATCCATTCTTATTTAAAATAAAATTTCTAAAATTGACGACCATGTCGACCAGAATATCCATTATCATATAATTTGCATAAAGAATCAGCCCTACTACCATTTAATGATGATTGAGTTGGTACTAAAATTGGTCCAGTACCTATACTTCCACCAGATGATGCATATGTTGATTGTATTGATGCTGATTCATTTTTATATAATTTTTGTTTACCACGTCTTTGATATAAATATGTCCATATAGCAATAACAACTAATTGTGCCAAAAGGAATACGGTACCAGCTAATACAAGACCTGTTATATATTATATAAAGAACAAATAATATAATTATATAAAAAATAATAATAAAGGGTAAAACTCAAAAAAATTAGCAACAAAAATTCATATTCTTACAAAATAAAAATAATTGTTAATACACGAGCAACATACACATGCCCATATCATACATGTTAAAAACAAAATGTTATTCTGTGTAAAATGCAATATTTGCTTACCAATTCCATTAACACAAAATCCAGTAGAATCAGAAGTCATAAATACTGTCTCATTATTGTTATCAATACCATTTGATGATTTTGATTGCTGGTGTTTATCAAAACCAAATTTATCTTTAATTTGAATTGATTGAACTAATAACATATCATCTTGATTTGGTTTATTTGTTGTTTCACGCCGTAAACGATGATTACGATTATATTGCGGTAAAAATGATGCTGTAATAAAAAAAAAAGACAACAAACAGTTAGAAAAATGGCAATAAAATCTTTTACATTGTATATTTTTAAGAGAATACTGAAAATTTAAATATAGTAAGAGAGGCAAATTACTATTCAAGATGGGAAAATGGTTATAATAAAAGAATAGGAAAATAGGAAAATAGGAAAATATCTTCGAAATTACAAATTAAGAATTAATGTAAAAATAATATAGATAGAATTCGGATTTAGTATTAAAAACATACAAACATGACAAACGAACATAATAGAGGGGCCTAAGTCTTACTAAGTCTTTGAATATTATAACTTCTGCGTGACTAAGTTGATCCAAAACTAATAGAATTTATTCCACTATATGCGGTTCTATAAAATTTTCATATATTTTTTTTTTCGCTAATAAAATTTTCTGGATCTCATTTTATTGTTTTTTATTGAAGTAAGCAATTTAATAAAGAGAAAATTTTTTTATTTAAATCGCTACATTGTTTTCAATTTTCTTTATTCCACCCAATATACATAGATATATTGTGTGCATATAAGCTGCATTATACAAATTAACAAATAAAATTAATACTGGTTATGAGTATATGGAGAAGTTCTTTCCAACTATTTTTCGAATTTTTTGTATTTCTCACTATTATAAAATCATAAATCTGTTAATAATTGTGTAAAAAGAAAATTGAAAAACTATATACAGAACATTTTACGGTAATAAATTTTTGTTCAGAGCTACTATATACAATTAAATAATTTGGCTAGAACATACTTTTAAGCTTGGAAAAAACAATAAACCGTAGTTGGTATTTTAGTTTATCTGTTCCAAAGCTTTAGTCATTAGAATTGAAAAAATCTTAAATTATTTTTCGATTTCAAATATTTTAAATAATTACTTATATTATATTATAATATTTTAAATAAAATTCCGCTATAAGCCTCTAAATTTATTCTCAAGAAAATGAGGCGCTCATAAACAAAGAGGTCTAACTCCAAAAATCACATTTCGAGATAAACGCATTGTATACCTTTAGGAGAATTTATCTTTAACTTTTTCAAATTTCGAACCTAGAATACTCGTATTTAGTAGAAATGTATATAAATGTAAGCCTTTTATTCTGTGCTTGTAGAACAATAAAAATGAGGTTTTGACCACTATTGCGACTTACAGATTGGATGTATTTTTAAAACTTTTTTATGAATTCATATTTTTCACATTAGTTTTATGCAATTATTTTAAAATGAACAATTTGTGGGTTGGTTCACTTTACTGCACCTCAAATATTAATTATGAAAAATCTTGCTTCAAATGCAACACCCTAACTGCAAAAACCAAGTTTTCGAGAAATTAATCAAGATGTGAAAATAAATAATTTTATTTGTTTAAGTGTTTCAGGTAAGTGTGTTGCCTTTTTGCCAAGTGTAATACTCCTTAGTTCTTATTAATTTTATCATTTACTTTGTTTTCATTTACAGCCGAACTTACTTTTTCGCCTACATTGGCTTTGATCACTGGACCATATTGAATTAAAAAAAAAATTGTTGCGATATAGAATTAAATTTTAACAGTGTCTGATTTAAAATATTTTAATCTTTGTGCCGAAATATAAGGTGTTTAAAATAGCATGATATTTAAAATTACTCTTACATTTTTCTAAATACAATTCTGAACTAAACTAAATTATATGTGTGTGTGCATAAGCAACATTCAAATTAACTGTATATTATTGTAAAAAAAAACAGAATTGTGTAAGATTCAAATTGAAAGCTAAGAATCATAATTTACATAAAAAAGATTAAAATCTATATAAACATGCACTAACACACACATGAGAAAATTATACTTTCATAGAAACAAGAATTACAATATAATTTTATTATTCTATTCTCATTTCAAAACAGAGAGAAAAAAAATAATGCTATATTACGTAAATCTAATATTCTGAATAATTATGTAGCGTTTGCTTTATAAATAATTGGTTATATTACGTTATCCCGATTAAAAAGAAAAAAAAAATAAATCATTCTCACCTGTGGCATTAACGGAACGTTTTTTCCTTCCAAATGATATTAGTGATTTTAATTCTCCGCTAACATCCTCCTGATCGCATTGTACTGGTTCACATGTTGGCATACATGGTGTTACTAATGCTCTAAATTGTACAATTTCTGATGATGGAAATTTAAATGCATCAAAATGTGATAGCAAAACTTTGCCAGATGATGGACTCTTATAAACTGGTCCCATAATAAATTGATCAGTTGGACAACCATCAGAATCAATTAATGTTATTTCAGCATTATCACCACCATCCATTGCAACTAATTCACGTACAAATATTTCATAAGGACTATCATGATCTAAAATTTCAAATCTTAATGCCAATGGATCACCAACTTCAGCTGAACGCATAACTTCACTACCGCTACCATCTCTTGTTGTTATTTTCATTACAACATTTGGTGAATCAACAATTACTTCTTCAGATAATGCTGGTTCAATATCACCAGTAACACCCAAATCAAATTCATTTGATACAGTTTTATTTGTTAAATCATATTGGCATGTTACAGCTAATCCTAAATCAGATGATGTTACAATCATATCATGATGTTGTATAACAACATCATTCATATAACGTCCGCTACCCGATTGTCTAACATTACATTCTAAATCTTGATAGCCCATACGTAATTCGAAATTTAATGCATTTTTAACATCAGCTGAACATGATTTTGGTGAACCTTTTGCATATACTTTACCATCAAATAGTTTTGACGTTCTAATACGTGCAATCATATCATTAGCACGACATTCAATTGAAACATTATAGCATGATGATAATTCATATGTTGCTGCTTCTGGAACATCTAAATATGGATCTTGAATATCTGTTAATGTTGCACGTGAATGATGACTTAAACGGCAGACCATATCACCAGTATCTCCATAATCGTAAGAATGACATCTATAAAATATTAAAGATTATTTTATAATTTGGTGCAAAATTATGAAAACACAAATAAATTGAAGTGATTGTCCGAGAAAATTATAGTGTATGATCAGAACAAGACGTATAAATAGAAATTCATATTTTCGATTTTTTTTTAACTAATTCACAACTGTTTATTTGATTGTAATTTTACTATTGTGAATATAGTTTGAATTTCTTAAGTTGAATTTCCTGTTTTTCTTAACTCTTCTTTAAATAAAATGAAAAGTTTATTAAAATGTCAGTTTTTTCTTCAAGATAAAAAATTTTATTCGAGAAGTTATTTAAAAAAAAAAAAAGTCATTTGATGATCACTACATCAACAGGCGAGTTTGTTTTGCGGGTGCGTTACTTTTATAACTTGTTTTTACATTTGAATAATTTTTTATTATGCATTTTTAAAATTTCCACTTTACTCATCATCTTCATATACATTAAAATACAATACAAACCTGTATGGTGAGTTTAAGCATAAATCACGACATTCATCAATTCCACCAATATCTTGATATACTGAGTCAACAGTTTTAAGTATACGTCCAGATAATCTTTTGAATTCACATAATTTATTTGGTTCATCAGCGCAATTATTTTCAAGATAGTCATAACCATCAGCTTGTACGAATGCTGTTGATCCAGACAATGTTATACGATCCATTTCAGATAATTCACATGTATGTTTAGATTTTAAGAAATTGGCAGATCTGCAAGTAGAAAACAAAAAAAAAAAAAATAGATAAATTGATGCAAAATGTAAGGAATATATTTTGGACATTTTTCAATTGAACTTATCATAAAATTAAAATTATGTTTTTATATAAGAAACCAAGATAAAATTACAAAAATTTTACCTAATCAAAATGTAGTTTTAATCGAATGATTCGAAAAATGTTTTTGTTTTACATTGTGTACCTGTAGCAATGAAATTAAAAAATTATTATGCAGACATTTTGGAAAAATGCTACTCAAAATGACGTTATTGTGAATGTCTTGAATGTCTGGCATTAATTTTTAAAATTGAACGTCATATATGAAAATGAATAAAACGTGTTTTCTTTTATTTTATTAGTAAATCGGAAAATTATTTTCTTTAATTTTCATAACATTTAGGAAATTTGATATTCATGTCAAAGTAAACATGTTAAATTAAAAAACGTTTTTAGGACTTACAATTTAATTGATCAATAAAACTATAAAATTTTTTTCTACATTTCAATTGAAGTTGAATGGGTTTTCCACGTCTATAGAATTTATGTATGTAATTGGAGGAATTTTATTTGAAATATAATTTATTAATCTCACGAAAATTCTTACACAAGAATTCAATTGATGTCAAACAACAAAATCTAATAGAATTTTGGACATTGTTTACAAAGGTTGAACATTTTTGCATTTAATATGCAATGGTTATCAAAATAATTATACCTACTTTAAAATGAAATAATTACAGGGTGTTGGAAAAAAATAAAACTGTTGGAAACAAAAAATTTTTATAAAATTTTTATTATCGTAAATTTTAAAGAAGAAACAATTGTAACAAGAGTCTTTTACGTAAAAAGACAAAATTTGTTATCTCTATTCCACAAAACTGTAATACAGTAATAGTTAACATTATTTTGCGTGACCATGCCTGCATGTAATTTGATGTTCGAATTCTAGCTGAACTTTTAGAACTTCGAATGATAACTTACGTTTTTACATTTGATATGCAAATTTTGGAAAATATATCGGAAATCTTTAAGTGATTAGACTCGTAAGTAATATAGGTACAGTCTTTCAAATTTTTCTTTCAGTCTCTGTTTGAAAATGATTGAATTCTTAATTATGCTTGACTGCTTCTTTAATTTTCAATAAAGGCCATCAACCCGTAAAAATTTCGTCTTTCAACTTAAATTCAAATTAATAGACAGTTTGTTTAAGTTTGAGATAACAAATTTTTGCTTTTGACCTAGAGACGATGCTCAGATTATAATATGATAGGTTATTTGATATTATGGTAACGGACATTTGACCCCTTTATTTGGCATCCCAAAATTTTTGTCACTTTTTAATAATTTTAAATTTAACATTTGTTTAATAACCGCTTTGCGTGAACATTTAGAGAAAATATGAAACACCTGAATTAACAGATCTAAGGTGTCCGTTTCATCAAAAATAAGCTCAAATTGTCCTTTTTTAATTTTCGAAGAAGGCAATAAATTCTTCGAAAATTAACTAAAAGTTTTGATATACTTATACATATATCGTTCAATTGCATTCAATTATCAAAAACAAATTATTGGCTAATCATCTCATCGTCATTTTACGTTCTAAATCTATAAAAATCTTTAAAAATTAAACAAAGAGATTGCCATCTAAGGCAATTTACCATTTTCTTTAAATATTTCATAAGTACCTATTTATGCATATAATATGAAATCCAAATTTAGTAATTTATGTCCAATAGGCTCAATTATTTTCTTTAGTTATGCATTAAGATAATTTTTTTTTATATACTCAAATAGCATACATGGCCGCTAATCTTATAAATTTATAAAATTTAAGAATTTTGACAATAAAATCTAATTGATTTTATTGATTTTAAAAGTCACGCAATTTTCCTCTGGTCTAATGTCAAAGACCAATATCACTTTACCGGCAAAATACCTTCTCATCACATATACAAAAGGAATATTTTTTACTATAAAAATATGTATGAAAAAAAAAAAAAACTTAAAATGTTTAAACTCTTGACATCAATAAGTAAATTATAATCATAATCTATCATAAGTCAATCATTACCCGTTATTATATAGTTTTTTTTTGTTTTTGTTTTTTTATGATTACTCAATAATCTCGTATAATAATTCTTATAAGAGCAGTAAAACTGCAGCATTAAAAATACAAAAATTTTCACAAAAAAAAAAATTGCATTTTATTTAGCCTAGAAACCATGTGTACAAATTACTATTTTGTGTACATAGTGATGAATAGCCCCTGGTTCATATTACGTTTATTTGGTAAGCTTAAAGATTTTTCTTGTAAACGTACAAATCTACATGCAATACAAATATGGATAATTGGGTTTCACAGTTTAACATCTAAATTAGTAGCTTTTCTTATGAAATTCAAATAACACTCTTGTAAAAATTTTTTTCTATATTTCCTCAAGGGTTAAACATCACATTTTATATTATTTTTTAAAAAATTAACAAAATAATCATGTTAGATTTTTTGGGTAATTTTGATACCTAAGTCTAGAAAATAATATTTAAGAAAAGTAGGTTTAATGAATTTAAAATTACCTTAATCATTGCGCGAAGTCATCGCGAATAATTTTTTTTGATTCTACTTCATCGTTTTATTGAAGAAATGTAAAATTTTTTTTATTTTCACTAAAAATATTGACCAAACAAGTCGCATTTTATTTTATTACAATAAAAAAACAAAAAAAAAATTATAATAAAATTTTCGTTTGCCGTTACTCTGCGGCATTCGTTGATGTTTTCAGAAAAATTTTCAACACAACAAGAACTAGTTCGATTTCAGAAAATTAAAATCATAAAAGAGAAGAAAAAAAGAAATGGGAATGTAATCAACCTAACAGGTTAATCGTGCTATTAACAACATTTTGTTATATTATCATAAAATATATATGTAGGTAATAAACGTATAACATTATTGTGTGTTTGTGTGTATGTATAACATATTTTATGTTAAATAAGTGAGCGCATGTACCTCTAGTATTGTTTAAAAGAAAAATAAGAAAAACATCGCACTCGAACTCGCACTCGCACCACATGTTATTCAATGATAATAATATTGTGTTTTTTACTTTTTTTTTTTTTGGAGTTCTGTCGGTGGTGTGTTGTTTGGCTGGTGGTACATTTAGAACTCATCATGTATTCATACATTATAAATAGGTTAGTAGTATGATCGGGTTACAATATAAAATAAATAATTTTTTGTTTTTTTTTTTTTTTGATATCGCAGATATAAAAATGAATGTGGGTTAAATTTTGCGTTTATAATTGCGCTTGAATTATGTACGTATGTATGTGCATATACGTGTATTTCTAACTAAATTTTTTGTTTTAGAAAAAATTATTGGAATTTTATTGTAAAAAAAAAAAAAAAATACAGTAAAATTTTTTTTCTATCTACTTATATATTCTTTCCATTTTTTTACACGTTCCCCTCTTCCATGTGTCAGTTTTGACTTTTATTGACTTTTCGACATGATATGATTTTTCTTATACAAAACAATTGGTTTTTGATGAGGAAATCATTGAGATGGCGCTGTGAAAATTCTATGTTGTTCTTAAATTTTTTCTTTTTTTTTTTGGTTGATTTATTTTGTTTGTTCTCATTTCAGGTGTGGTAGGTAATATTGATTATTGCTAATTGTTTGAACAAAAAGAAAATTTATTTGATATTTTTACAAGTCATTATGTACAATCGTACAATTAATAAAATAAATTTCTGCCAACATTTGTATTGTAAATTTAATGACAAATTTTTCAATACCTCAAGAAAATGTTAGCAAGAAGATTAATTTTGTATACAAGATTAAAGTTGAAGATTGAATTTACTGTTATTGTATCTTGTAATAAATTTGAAGATTCAAGTGATGCCGAATACTTTGTTAATAAACTTTAAAATATTTACCACGTTTGAGATTTATTGGCAAAAATTAATGAAAATTAATTGGGCTCACAATATTGTCAGAAAATTTTTCAAAACTATTTATTAAAATAAAACTATGGCATGCATTCTGTCTTAAAACATGCTCTTTTTTTCATACTCCACTTGGGATATCATTAGAACTTTCCACTTGATTTTGGAGTCAAGCATCAATTTTATAAATCTTCATAACAAAAATTATAGTTTGAAACTCAATGCAGCAAAAACTAAACTTATGACTATAAGTAGAAATAAAAACCCTTATACTTTGGCTAAAGTTACGATTGACATTTTTCAAATTGAATGAGCATCCGACTTCAAATATCTGGGTTTCTGGTTGAATTAAAAATGGATTTGCGAGCAAGAAATAAGATGTCGGATCAAAGTGGCTAAATATGAATTTAATAAATATGCAAAGATACTGTGCTGCAGAAATTTTAATTTAACCTTACATTTATGATTTATGAAGTGTTATGTATGGTGTGTTCTTCTATATGGTGTTTAATACTGGACCTTAAAACTTAATAATATTAACAGAATAGAGGTATTCGAAATGTGGATATTTAGAAGATTGCTCAAAATATCATGAATTGAGCATGATTCCAATGATGAGGTTTTATGTATAATTGCATCAAACCGGCAGCTACTGATGAGCATAAAGCATAAGAAAAATAGCGTGTTTTGGATATGTAATGCGGGACAATAGATATGAACTTCTACAGCACATAATTCAAGAAAAAACGAAAGCAAAAGAGGAATTGGTAGAAAACAGATATTATGGTTGCTCAATATGGGAACTTGGACGGGTATATTAAATATCAATAACGTGGTGTATCTAACAAAAGACCTTTTAGAATATATCAACATGGTAACCAGCCTATTATGAAAATAGATATATGACCACTAACATCCAGTAGTGGATAGGCAGTACAAGACGAAGAACCAATTTTAATTCATACTAAATATTCATTGTTTATTCTTGTTGTCATAGAATATCAAGTATTAACAGATATATGGGAAATAAATTTTACTAGGGTTTGGA